GGGGTGCTCAACCCCTGCACCGGGTGAAAGATTGCAGCTTTGCCATGGGGCACAACCGTATAGGGTTGGTTATCCCCATAAGGTACTGAATACTGATAATGCCGAGATTTCCACTAATATTTCCCAAGGGCAGAACGTTCTTCTTGAAAATCATTCCGCTCGCCCTAGTACTTGGCTAACTTATTACATAAACATCTTTCCGAAAAAGTCGTATATTTGCCGGCAGTATGGCAGCAGCCCCGGCACCTCTGTTAAAAGGTGACAGAAACCGATGACGGCGATTAGCACCGGTGCAGCAGTCGCTGCGGTCCGCAGGGGCGGACATTGCGCGGAGACAACGGTAGCTACGATGCTCTGGCAGTAATTAGACGATCACAATAATCGCTGAAAAAATGAAAGGTGATCGCATTTGGATATTTACAGGTTTACGATTTTCCTCAGTGGCGTAGCCAGGTGGGCCCGTGAGGCACGTGCCCCCCCCCCCCATCAGGTTCAAGGTCCCCTCGGGTTATTCGGGCCTGAGGGGCCCTGCGGCGCCAATTGGCCGATAAGGGTCCATGTTGACCATATTTGGACTCAGAAGGGCCCCACAGGGCTCGTAAAAAACACCTCATGGGCCCACAAGTATCAACAATAAGATCTCCATAAGGGCCCAAGCCAGCCTCTGAGGGCCCCTTACCGGCCTCGGAGGGCCACTTGCCGGACTCTGGGGGTCCTAACCGGCCTATTCCCAGCCAGCAAATTTGGCCTTGGCCGTAGCTGGTTTTACTCTGGATAGCTCAGGCATTTGCTCCGGCTAAAGTACGGGCAAGGTCTGGGGCTCTACTGGAGCTGACACGATCCCGGAGCTCGCCCGCACCACAGCCGGACTTATGCCGCATCAGCCGTGCCGTACCTCCACCGTACTTCAGCCACAGTAAGCCAGAGCAGCTATGAGGCAGCCGGACTGGTCGTAAGGGAGCCGGACTTGAGCCGTGGCAGGGAGCCGGACTTGAGCCAGACTTGGCGGTCCGGAACCATACCAACCCGGGAGCGCTACGGCCAAGACTGGCTAACCGGAATAGAGCCGTATCGACCCAAACCCCGGCTCTGACGGCGTTCCTTTTATACCGGCCCGAGTCTGGCATGTCGGAGTTGCCGGGGCAAAACGGACTTGCGCCGAGCCAAATTGCTGGCTGGGTTAGGGGGCTCTGGGAGCTCTCTGGGAGCTCCACACCCGCCTGTAATAGCCCCACACCTATTTCTCTGAGGGCCCCTATAACGGCGACTGTGAGGGCCCTCACCGGCGCCTCTGAGCGCCACACCGGCGTCTCTGAGGGCCCCACACCCCTAACTCTGAGGCCCCACACCAATGCATTTAAAACCCCACATGGGTGGTTCTGAGGGCCCTTGTCAGTTATCAGCGACCCTGACGGTCCCACACAGGTGACTCGGAGGGTCTCAGCGGCGTCTGAGAGCGCCATGCCGGTCTCTGAGAACCCCACAAGGCTCCTGATGGCACCGGTGACCTCTTGATATCTTCTTGTCGGCCTATGAAGGGTCCACGGGTGGAGAATTGTGCTGGACTGGGGGTGCTCGAGCTCTCCCAATTCCACGCCGGCTTGGCTTTGGAGCCGCGGCCGGGCGGCGCGGGTCAAGGTCACCGCTAGGCGGCGGCGGATTTGCTACGCCCGAGCACCCCCAGCTGGTCATAATTCTTCACCTGTGGAAGGGTCCGTTCCGTAACAGCAGTTCTGAGGGCCACACGCGCGCCTGTGATGGCCCTAAACCAGTGTCTCTGAGAGCCCCCACAACGGCGCCTGTGACTGTGAGGGCCATACATTGCCATATCTGAGGGCCCCACACTAGTGCCTCTTAATGCCCTATATCGGCGGCTTTGAGGGCCCAACATCGTCGCTTCTGAAGGCCCCACAAGTGCACATGTGATGGCCACCCACCGGTGACATTTGAAGGCCCCACACCGGCGACTCTGAGGGCCCCATCGGCATCTGAGCCCGTGCCGGTCTCTAGAGACGACCCCACAGGGTTTCTAAAGGTACCACCGGCCTCTGATGGCACTTTGCCCTCTGAGGGCCCGTCGCCGGTCTCTGGAGCCCCCTGCCGGCTTGTAAAGGGTACACGCCATCAGCTCTAAGGGTCCGACACCCGTCTACGACGGACCAACACCAGTGTCTTTGCAACTTAACGTCTTTTTACGCCCTTCTTCTTAAGACTAACTTTTACTTTCTTTACATCTTTACTTCATGCATTGTAAATTGCGTAATTGTTTTATTTTTAGTAGTGAAAGACTGCGGAACCAATTATTTTCCTCAAGCAGAGTTAGTGGGAGCTTTTGAGGGACCAAATCATTGGGGATGCTAAACTGGAACATTTGGGGGTGCCCGGACAACCATTGGGGTGCTCATTTGAGCATTGGGGGTGCTGCAGCACCCCCAAAGGTATACAAATCGACACCCATGCTTGTACTGTGTCCCAAACAGTTTGTTTCAGGGTGTAGTTTTATGGCTAACAAATTGTACTGATTTAATGTTACTTCGGTACCTTGGGGTAAGATGCCCCCTGTCCTGATGGGGAAAGACGCCCCCTAAATCCGTAGGCTTTCCTTCAAGCAGCCCGTCAAATCATTTATTACATACTTGTGATGAGAGACAAAAGCCGATCTGGGACTATTGGGAGTCCAGTACGGTCGGGTGCTCCCCATGCCAGTCTCTCGGCCCACACAGCGACTTTTTGGGCGGCATCTGACTCTGAGAGCCCTCACGACGGCCTCTGTGGGCCCCATTATTGGCTCCAAGGCCCCTCACGACATCCTTTGAGGGCTCCCACGTTGGCTCCACGGGCCGCGCTGGCATCTGAGGTCCCCACGATGGGCTCGAGGGCCCTCAAGCATCATGAAGACCTATAAGGGCCCCACAGCGGTCTCCGAACGCCACCACGGAGGCTTGTTTGGCCGCGCTGAACTAAGCTGGCCCTAACGATGACCTCTGAAGCCCCTTACGACTACTTTTGAGGGCCCTTACGATGACGTTTGGTGTCTACTGCAGGCTCGAAGGGACTACTGATTCGTTCAGGCGATTCACGTGCCCATTTATGTCACTTATAGTGCAGGGGGCATCTTACCCAACGCCAGGGGGCGTCTTTCCCACCCTGTGGGGTAAGATGCCCCCTTTCACTTCTTCAGGAAAATGCTTAATAGCAAAAAAAGTTATCATAGTTCAGGCACGAAATTGTGATATTTTTGGAGAAAAATGATGTCGGCTTCTGTTGAAACTCCAAGTTTTTGCCTTCCGATCGTCATTTTCGAATAATATATGATATAGTAAAACCCTGGGCATCTTTCCCCACTCTCCCCTACTTATGCCATACGTACTTTATACTCGACGTACTTTTGCGATACGTACTTTTGCCCTTGACGTACTCTTGTACATGCGTAGGTACTTTATGCTGTACGCACTTTTACGATATGTGCTTTTGTCCTTGACGTACTTTTGTCCATGCGTACTTAATAATGCACCACGTACTTCTTCGATACGTACTTTTGTCCTTGACGTACTTTTATCCATTCGTGCTGTTGTGTCCCCCGCTTCTGTCCACCTCGTCACACGCCCGGGAGACCCCAGAGTGCGGGTTTATTGCGGAAAAGCCAAGAGAGCACAACAGAACTGATTGTTTACATTTTCCAATCCCCCGTTTCCGGAAGAGAATGAACCTGTAGTGATGGGGGTCCTCTTCACTCGCCATCACTGACCGCGTAAACTATAACTACTACACCTTAGTCTCTTATCGGGGCTGGACGTTAGATCTATGGAGACCCAAAGAACTCGATCCGACATTACAGATATAGGATCGCTTCTTCAACAAGAAACTAAATATACGTAATACAGTCACAGAAATCCAGCACTAAACAGAGTAATAAATAAATACAACTTCGGCGCGCCTGAGACATATTCGGCGCACAAACAAACTCCAACACCACCCCTCCCTTTGAGGGAACACACTCTACTCGGGGCAGTCCCCTCGACCTACCTACTGGTACCGGTCCGGCGTGAACCGGTCAGGAGCCCGGCGCCGGCGACTGCCACGGCGCGGAGAAACAGGAGAGGTCTGAGGATCCGCCCGAGGCACGGATAGCTCCCCGGCGGCGTGTGACACAGGGCGGACTCTGGGCGGACTGACAGCGCCCTCAGCGCTCCCAGATGGGACCGAGGAATCCGGAATAAGGCTGGCCGGTAGCTCCTCCACTACCGGCTCCTCTGTGGCACGCCCCGGCACGAGACGCCTGGCGTGCACTCTGTCCCCCGTGCTTACCCTGTAGCTCACCGGGCCGGTCCTCTCCCGGATCTGGACCGCCGGCTGGCCTTCGACCCGACCGCTGACTGGCTTACGAACCCGTACCCAGTCTCCTGCCTCCCACCTGGGGGCGGCGGTCGCGGTGCGATCGTACCTCCTCTTGTACGCCGACTGATAGCGGCGGTGCCGCCGGCGTACCGCGCGTTTCCGGCTGTTTCCGGTGGGCGCGTCCCGCTTCAGCACGTCCAGGGTCGTGCGCGCCTCCCGCCCCCTCATCAAGCGGAACGGCGTCTCCCCGGTGGCGGGGTGCGGAGTGGCGCGGTACTGTGGTATCGTGATCCTGTGTGATCGTGATCGTGATCGACCGCCGACCGGCGCGGCGGTCGGGTCAGACAGTGCGCGCGGTGCGGCCGGTCGAGGCTGATGTGTTCTTTCTTGGCGCTTATTTGAACTCTTTCGTTACGTATTTCATTCTTGCTTTTACGTTAATATACTACATTGGCGACGAGGATGAGATGACCGACTGACCCTCTCCCAACTGGAGGAACTGGCCGCCGCGCACGATCGTGGTCTGCAGCGGAAGGCCTTGCTGCAGGGCACCGTGAGCTCTCAGTCACCAGCACCAGTGGAGGTCGCGTTCGCCGGACGCCGGAACAGCGCCTCAGCGCGGAGGACACCACAGAAACAGCTTGCAGGTGGGAAGTCTGGGACATGTCGGGCGTGTGGTATGAAGGGCCACTGGGCTAAGGATAAAGTCTGTCGAGCCAAGTCTCAGAAGTGTTGGAAGTGTGGGTCTGTGGGCCACTTCAGCAACTGTTGTCCCAACCAGAGTAAGAGTGTCGATGCTGTGCAAATTCTGTCAGTGTCTGCCCAAGATGTCAATGCTGTTCGTGAGGTGCCATGTCCGTACTACACCGTGACCATCAACAGACACCCAGTGAGGATGCTAGTCGACACCGGTTCTGCGGTAAGCATCATTCCAGCGAGGCTCTACCACCAGAACTTCAGCAGCGTTCAGCTGCGGCCAGCAGGTCCGCTGTCTCAGTGGAACGGCAGCGGCATCAACGTCCTGGGGAAGATGACTGTGACCGTCCGTGGATCTGACTCTGGAGAGGTGCTCGCGGACATCTACGTCGCGGTGGGACAGCTGCCACTCATGGGCAGGGACCTACAGCAGCAGCTGGCACTGACCGTGCGCCACGGCAACGTGGTCTGTCAGGTGAGCAGTCAGGTGCTGCCAGCGATCCGAGGGTACGTGCACAAGGTACGTCTTCGACCTGACGCCGTCCCCGTGCAGCTGCCGCTGAGGACAATGCCTTACGCTCTGAGAGATGAGGTAGGTGCCCATCTGGAGGACTTGGAGCGGCAAGGTATCATTGAGCGAGTGGATCGTGCTGCATCTCCATGGCTCTCACCGATCGTAGCCATCCGTAAAAGGGGAGGTAAAGGTCTACGGGTTTGCCTCGACTTGTCTGAGGTGAACAGAGCTGTCATCTCAAATGGTCATCCAATTCCTGACATGCAGGAGATGCTGGAGAAGCTGCGTGGTGCGAAGTGCATGTCGACTCTAGACATGAAGTCGGCGTACCACCAGTTGGAGCTCCACGAGTCGTCCAGGGACCTGACGGCGTTCATCCACGACGGCCAGACCTGGAGGTATCGAAGATGTTGCTTTGGGTTGAAGAGCATGCCGCAATGCTTCCAGAAGCTGATGGAGTGTGTGCTGACCGGTGTGCCAGGGGTGCATGTGTACCTCGACGATGTGATCGTCACTGGGTGCAGCCGGCAAGAGCACGATGACCACCTCCAACAGGTTCTTCGGCGTCTGGAGGACCACAACATCACGCTGAACCGTCAGAAGTGCAAGATCGGAGTGACGTCGGTGGACTTCCTGGGTTTCACCGTGACTGACGGCAGGATCTCCGTGTCGTCTGAGCGCGTCCAGGGCTTGCGTAGCCTGGCGGTGCCGAAGTCGAAGAAGGAGCTGCAGGCTGTGCTGGGTTCCCTGGGCTTCTACTGTAAGTTTGTTCCAGGTTACAGTACCCGCGTCGAGTCTCTCAGACGCCAGCTGAGGAAGGATGCTCCAGAGTTCGCCTGGACTCCAGAGATGGATGCGGCGTTCAACGACGTCCGGCAGGCGATCCTCGACTCTGACGCCCTGTCGATGTTCGACCCCAGCCTGCCGACCGTTGTCACGACGGACGCCAGTGATGTCGGCTTGGGAGCCGTCTTGAGCCAGGTACATCCTGAGGGCGAGAGAGTCGTCGCCTTCGCTTCGTCCACGCTCAACGCTGCACAACGGAGGTACAGTGTCACAGAGCGTGAGGGGTTAGCGTGCGTCTGGGCCTGTGAAAAATGGCACAAATATCTGTGGGGTCAAGAGTTTGTGCTACGTACCGATCATGCTGCCTTGAAATCGCTGTTGACTGTCAGGGGTGTTGGTCGTGCCGGCATGAGGATGTCTCGCTGGGCGGTGCGCCTGATGAACTACTCGTTTGCAGTGGAACACGTCAAGGGCCAGCTGAACCCGTCTGACGGCCTCTCCAGACTGCCGGGACCGGAGCAAGAGGTCGAGGATGACGAGTCCGAGCTGGTGGCCTGCCTCGCCGACGAGACGTCAGCCGTCAGCCGTGAGGAGCTAGCGGTAGCGGGACGGGAAGACGCTGAGGTAAGGGCCCTGATGGACCAGATCCCTCGGGAGTGGCCCCGTCGCTTCAGTGATGTTGATGACGTCCTCAGGCCGTATTTCCGCTGTAAGCAGGAGCTAGCTATCGACGGTGAGCTGATTTTGCGTGGTGAACGGATCGTGGTTCCCACTGTGCTCAGACCTCGGTTGCTGACGCTGGCACATGAATCCCACCAGGGTATCGTCCGGACCAAACAGCGGCTTCGAGCGCTGTTCTGGTGGCCCGGAATGGACGCAGCGGTGGAGACGACCATCAAGGAGTGCCCAGCCTGCATCGTGGCCGACAAGACGGCGAAGACGAGGTTCGCACCACTCAGTCCTGTTCCCCTGCCAGCTGCAGCCTGGGATAAGGTGGGACTTGACTTCATCGGCCCGATGACAGGACCACCAAATCAAAGGTATGCGATAGTCCTCGTAGACTATTACTCGAAATGGCCAGAGATGGCGTTTGTCCGTGAACCGTCAAGTGATGCTGTCATTGACTTTCTGCTGACTGTGACGTCACGGGAGGGATGGCCAAGGGAGGTTGTCACTGATAACGGTACTCACTTCACATCTGTGAAGTTTGGACAGTTTCTGAAGAAGCATGGTGTCAAGCATGTCAGAGTGTCACCGTATCACCCTGCAGGTAGTGGTGCTGTAGAGCGTTTGAATCGTGACATCAAATCTGCTCTCCAGATGGCGGACCAGCAGTCGGTGGACCGCCGACAGTACCTGCAGTCCTACCTCCGCACGTACCGAGCGACGCCGCACGGAACGACCGGCCGGAGCCCGTCCGAGCTGCTCCACGGCCGGCAGATGCGGACGGACCTGGACAGCGCAGTCGCACCGGAAGGTGGCAGCACCGGAGACGCCGCCTTGCGACAACGGGTCAGCCGAAAGCAGCGCCAGATGAAGCGACACTTCGACAACAGGAAGCGGGTCTGTGCACCGACCATCCAGGTGGGAGACTGGGTCCGGTATCGGGTGATGCCGCGGCCACGTAAAGGACGCCCGCGTTTCTCGTCACCGTGTCGTGTAACTGCTCGTCGTGGACCTGCTTCGTATGAGCTGGAGGGTGGAGTGCGTGTCCACGCGGAGCGCCTGTCTCGCTGCTCACCACCCGATCTTCCCAGGTCTGCACCGTCTCCTGAGTGCACTGGAGTACCGGAGGCCGAGGTGGACCTGCCCTGTCAGCCAGTCACAGACTCTGCTGCGTCGTCGACCGTCGGGCTGCGACGGCGAGCGCCAATCGCAGTCGACGCCGCTGCCAGCGCTGCCACTGGTGACGTGACGTCGGAGCAGTCGTCCGTCGCCGGAGCAGCCGCAGCGCCTAGCCTACCTCGCGACGCTGGCGATGGTGCTGTTCATCGTGCTGGAGGAGATCACCAGGCGGAAACCGGGACGACGACGACCGAGCGTGCGGGTGACGAGTCGGCGTCATCTTCGGAGCCGGCTTCGCCGTATCGAACGCGTAGTGGACGTGTCGTACGTGCGCCGGATCGCTTTGTTTAAGGGGGGAGAAAAGTGTGGTATCGTGATCCTGTGTTGGGAACTTTCCATCATGCCGTGCCTGTGTGCGCCGGGCGGCGCCGGCCGAGTAGCGCGGGCGCGGACTCGAGCGCGCGGACCAATCGGCAGCCGCCACGACCGCGGTGACCCCGCCGAGCTGACCGGCGCGGCGGTCGGGTCAGACAGTGCGCGCGGTGCGGCCGGTCGAGGCTGATGTGTTCTTTCTTGGCGCTTATTTGAACTCTTTCGTTACGTATTTCATTCTTGCTTTTACGTTAATATACTACAGGTACTCACCCAGGAACCGACGCAGGTAGGGTGAGCGCGGCTCCCGCGCCAGTCGAGCCGACTGAATGGCCCCTTTTATCGTGCGGTTCAACCGCTCGACCAGCCCGCACGTCTGCGGCGAGTACGGCGAGCTGAACGTCTGCCGCACACCACATTTCGTCAGAAATGCTCGGAGCTCTGCCGATCTGAACGCTGGGCCGTTGTCAGAAATGAGCTCGAGCGGGAGCCCCTCGCGAGCGAATAGCGTCTCCAAGAACTGGATGATCGTGCTCGCCGTCGCGTCAGAGCAAAGCGCGACCTCTGGCCACCGGCTGTAGAGGTCGCAGAGCACGATGCCGTACCTCTCGGTCGGCGGACCGTGCATCGGCCCGATGATGTCAACCATCAGCCTCTCCCACGGGCCCTCTGGCAGGGGAATGGGCTGCAGAGGGGGCTTCTCCCTGCGAACATGCTCGTCATGCTGGGAGCACACCTGACAGCCCCTCAGCTGCTCTCGCACCTCTCGGTCCAGCCGAGGCCACCAAAACTGCGCGCGCAGGCGCTGTTTGGTGCGGACCACCCCTTGGTGGCCCTCGTGGGCGTTCCTGAGGACGCGCTCACGGAGCGTCTCCGGCACGACGAGACGCTCGCCGCGGAATAGCAGCTGGCCGTGCTGGGACAGCTCCTCCCGCACCTGGTAGAAACCAGCCACCGCCGGGTCGATCTCCTTCCGGCGGGGCCACTGCCCAGCCACGAACCCGCGGACGGCTCGCAGGGTCTCGTCCGCGTCCGAGGCAGCACGGAACTCTGCCTCTGTGACGGCCACCGCCGCCACTCCGAGCGAGGCGATCTGAATGGTATCGTCGTCCGGCCACCAGGTGTCCGTTACTGGGAGGCGGGACAGGCCGTCCGCCACCCCGTTGTGCTCGGACCGCACATACTCCACATCAAAGGCGAACTCCAGCAGGCGGGCCTCCCACCGCGCGACTCGCCGGCCGACGCGGTTGGAGCCCTTCGGCCCGAAGATTGTGCAGAGCGCCTGGTGATCGGTGCGCAGGGTGAACCGGCGCCCCCACAGGTAGTGCCGAAACTTCTCGGTCGCCCACACGCAGGCCAGAGCTTCCTTCTCTACCACAGAGTAGTTCCGCTCGGCTGCTGTGAAGGTCTTGGAGGCGTAGGTGATGACCCTCGGCACCCCCGAGGCGTCAACCTGCGTGATGCAGGCACCGCAGCCGACGTCACTAGCGTCGGTGGAGAGCACTGTGGGGAGAGAAACGTCAAACATCCCCAGCGCGGGTGCCTGCCTGATCGCGTCCTTGACGCGGCGGACCGCGCTCGACAGCGCGGCCGTCCACTCAAAGGCGTCTGCCCTGAGCGCAGCGCGCAGAGGTTCGACCTCATCAGAGAACCTCGGAAGGAACCGGGCATGATAGCCCACGGCTCCGAGGAAGGCGCGGAGGCTCTTCTCGTCCCGGGGCTCGGGCGCGTCCAGCAGAGGCCGGAGCCGCTCCGGGTCGATACGGACACCGTCACCGGAGATCTGGTACCCGAGAAAACCGATCTCCCTCTGGTTGGTGACGCTCTTGCTCCAGTTCACACGAACCCTGTGGGCATCAAAACACTGGAGCACAGCCTTCAGCCGAGCGTCGTGCCCGGCCTGAGAGCGAGCGTGGACCAGGATGTCATCCAAGTACACCTCGACTCCTGGGATCCCCTCCAGCATGGAGGCCATCACCTTCTGGAAACAAGGTCCAGCGCTGGCGAGCCCGAAGTTCACCCGGGTAAAGCGGAACAACCCCAGGTGACTGACGAACGTTGTCAGGTCACGGCTGTCCGGGTGGAGCTCCAGCTGGTGATAAGCGTCCTTCAGGTCTAGCCTGGAGAACACCTGAGAGCCACTCAGACGGTCAAGTACATCCTCGATCCTGGGGAGAGGGTACCCATCAGTGATGACCGCCTTGTTTACCCGTCTCATATCAACACATAGGCGGATGGACCCATCTCGCTTCCTTCCGACCACCAGGGGTGAGACCCAGGGGGACGCACTCACCTTCTCGATCACCCCCTGGCTCTCGAGCTCCTTCAGTCTGGCACTCACCTCATCAACCACTGCCAGGGGCAGCCGGCGAAGAGGCTGCCGCACAGGTGCCACCTCAGGACTGACGGTGACACGGTGTTGGTAGCCAAGGATGGCAGGCTGGATCCCGGACGGTGAGGCAGGTGGGTCGGCAGGCTCAGCAGGGTGGCTGGGAGGCTCAGCAGGTTCCGGAGTAGCGTGGGAGGAAGAGGCTGTGGAAACAGCACACACGCGGTTACCCACGATACACACATCGAACGCCTCCATCATGTCCAGGCCCATCAATGCACGGCCATGAGGCACGACATACACAGTGACACTGGCAGTTTTCCCCTTACATGATACACATACACTTTTAACCCCTAAAACATCCAATACACTCCCCCCATAGGCACACAGGCGCTGATCAGTTGCTGTCAGGTCCCCTCCCACCACACTCCTGGGAAGGATCGACACAGGCGATCCTGAGTCGACGGTGAAGGTCACCTCCTGTCCCTCCACCTGAGCATCAACTGTCAAAGGTGAGGCACTGACAGCGAGCACTTGTACACTAGACACTACACGAGTGGCACCACAGTGCAGGGCAAAGTGGTGTAGCTTCCCACACTTGGAACAGGTCCTGTTGTAGGCGGGGCACGACTGGTCACCTCTGCGGTGTCCCACACGCCCACACCCCCAACACCGGCTGGAACCCGCAGCCTGGTGTGGCTGCTGCTGCTGGCGCTGCTGCTGGGGTGAAGGCTGCTGGCGTCCTGGTGGAGGCTGCTGGCGTTGCTGCAGGGCAGGGGCCCCACCTGAGCGGCGGCTCCTGGCCCCACCACGCTGAGGCCGCTGCTGCTGCAGGGCCTGCACCGGGACCGGTGCAGCAGGAGCCTCCATCACCCGTGCCTCCCGCTCTGCAGACTCGAGGGTGTCTGCAATCATCAGAGTCTTTTCCAGGGACAGCTCAGACCCCTCCATTAGCAGTCTCTGTCGTAACTTAGGTGAGATCGTCTTTTCAATCACCTGGTCCCTTATGAACTCATCAGTGTGGGCCCCGTACTCACAGGTACTGGCCAGCTGGCGCAGTACAGAGACCCACTGGACCGTTGTCTCTCCCTGGTGCTGGGCTCGGCTACGGAAACGGTAGCGCTCGACGCACACGTTCTGCTTTGGGGCAAAGTGCCCCTCCAGACGACGACGGGTGAAAGCGAAGTCGTCCTCCCCCTCCTCCTTAACACAGGGCGGCAGGGACTCGTAGACCCGCTGGCCCTCCGCTCCAAGGCACGTCAGAAGCACTGCCTGGCGGCGTGCCGGGGCGAACGCATCCCCTCCAACGGCACAAAAAAAATGTTCGAACATACGGATCCAGCGAGGCCACGGAACCGTCGGCTCAGCGCCGGCGATCGGCAGAAACGGTGCCGGGGCGGCCGTGAAATCCATCGCGCCACACGACTATGACGCGGAAAAACTCACGGTTCGAATACTCGTCGCCACTTGTTGTGTCCCCCGCTTCTGTCCACCTCGTCACACGCCCGGGAGACCCCAGAGTGCGGGTTTATTGCGGAAAAGCCAAGAGAGCACAACAGAACTGATTGTTTACATTTTCCAATCCCCCGTTTCCGGAAGAGAATGAACCTGTAGTGATGGGGGTCCTCTTCACTCGCCATCACTGACCGCGTAAACTATAACTACTACACCTTAGTCTCTTATCGGGGCTGGACGTTAGATCTATGGAGACCCAAAGAACTCGATCCGACATTACAGATATAGGATCGCTTCTTCAACAAGAAACTAAATATACGTAATACAGTCACAGAAATCCAGCACTAAACAGAGTAATAAATAAATACAACTTCGGCGCGCCTGAGACATATTCGGCGCACAAACAAACTCCAACACGTGCTTTATACTGTATGTACTTTTGCCATGCGTACTTTTGTCCTTGACGTAGTTTTGTCCATGCGTACTTTATATACTGTACGAACATTTGCGATACGTACTTTTGTCCTACCTGCCACTTGCCAGGGGCGTCGCCACAGATTTTCGACAGGGGGGACGGATCGGCCGACTAAAAACCCAAAATTAGGTATCGTTACCGTACTTTTTCAGGCCGATGCTCTATCTGTTCAACGATACTGGGCTGAATTCCTACGCGGTACGCGTCTAAAGCATAGGCGCGGGAGCCGGGGGGCAGTGGGGGCAGCTTGCCCCCCCCCGGCTCTGGGGCCGTGGGGGCGGTGCCCCCACAGCTTTGAGACGGAATACCACACTTTTTTTGCAAATGTTTTCTTTTTTGTTGAAAAAGCCGAGGGGTGAAAAATAAGTGGCCTTAAACCGGTGAGAAAACTAGATTTGGGGATACCCTAGGTTGATCTCTATTAAAGTGTGCCCCCCCCCCCCCCAGTCGGAAAGTAGTTCCCGCGCCCCTGGTCTGAAGTATTCATTTTTACACTGGTAACCAGAGCCTCCGGTCTTCTATCAGGGTATAATTGTTGACACATGCCGTCAATCTGATAGTTAACTGTTAATGTATACATCATACGTAGTGGTTGCTTTAGGTATTTGTCACAACTCTGAACTCATAATCTCTTTTGGTCTCCAGTATGAATGGGCGGCGCGGGTCGGCGCGAAGCGCCGCGAGATTTTCGTCGGGGTCGGAAATGTATATGCATAGATGTCGCTACAATAGCTTGACATGCAGTGCAAATTGTAGCAGACAGCAGTAGTTTCCCCTACCAAAGTGGTGGTTTTCTACCACAGACGCTCGTCGAGGTCGGAAATTCCAAATACGCTTGCGGCTCCCTGCAGCCTCATAGGCATTACCTGCATCAAATCTTTATAGTCTAGGTTGCCAAGGGTCAATGCCCCTTCGGCAGACTCGATAAAGTCACGTATGGTGGGACCTCCGCGCTCCTCCCGGTCTGGGTCATAGCTTAACACTTCCCGCAATGCTCCCATGTTTTTAGGGCCAGATTGAGGCAATTGCCCCATTGGTCTCGATCCGTGGCCTTTGCCTTGGAAGTGGCGCGCCCGCGCCCCGGCACCCAAGCCGTAACTCGGGAGCGGCATGCTCGGTGGCGCTGCCAGACCCGGGGATTGACCCGTGAACTGTGTCGGCGGCGGTGCGGTTGGCCGCATATCCATTGTTGGTTCGGTTACATTTACTATAGGGTTGACTGATCAGTAGCAGTATACGGGCTGTATTCATACACGTGTTCTTCCTCGTTCCGTTGGGGCAGGTCGGGTTTTTCAGCGCCCTTATCAGATGCAAGTTGAGGATGATCTTGAGACATCTTGGGATGACAGTTCGTGCACAATCACTGTACTCACTCTCAAAATGACGCCGTCACCAACCCGTGGAGCTCGGGGGGGGGGGGTCCAACGGCCAGACCGCTCGATTTCTGGCTGTCTGGTTCCCTAATGACAGCAGTCTCTGCGAGAGGAAATAACTGCTTTAGGGATCTCGGTGTTTGCTACAGCATGATTCATTGTGAGTGGCCCGAAAAGAGCAGTTGGCCTCGGATAGCCATCCTACAAGAACCCCCTGGCAGCAGCGATGAAGAATTGTTTTCTTTCCCCCTTTTTTGTATTCCTCTCCGCGGCGAGGCAGGCATATCTGGAAGCCAAGGCCAATCCGCCTAAACATCTCACTGGTCGCAAAAACAACGTTGAGGGCGGCCTGCTGCCCGTGCCACCAGCGGCTGGAAGGTCACAGCATCACATCCCGTCTGTCTGGGGGGGGGGGGGGGTTTGTCGTTGATTTTTGTTTACCGGCCGGCTGCGGCCCCCCTGACGCGCACGCCGCCCGATATTCGGCAACCGGATCAAACTGGAATACTTTGGTAACTGCAGCTTTAGCGCAGGGTAAACAACCAACGGACTGTTTTCATTATTCTCAGTTTCAGTTTTGGGTATAAGTCAGATGAATTATAAACATATTAATTGCTGTCGTTATTCGTCACCCGTTTACCCGAGCACCCCGTATTCCCTTTTGACGCTTATTCGTTACACGACTTCATTTTGGGCCAAGCATGGATCTGTTTATAACTCTACCACCTGATAACAATTGGTTTTGGTGCAAAATCTGTTCGTGCTTGACTCAAACACGTAGGTATAATAACTTCATTCGATCGGATGACGTCGGATCTTTACAAGCTCCAAGTGAAAAGGAATTTGCCCCTTTTTAGTAAACCGATGATATTGCTAGCTCAAGCAATCTACCATCCCATTTGTCAATATTTCTAAATCATCCCCATTTAGAGATTTACTCAGCTATGCTTTACGTTACGCAACATCACGCATGACAATGAAGTTACTCAGTCAAGTTCCGAATATGGCTGAAGGATGCGCAGTAGCTGGCGCCTCATTTGTCGCTAAGGCAGCAACAGTGAAGTCTCTTCATTGTCGTGACGCGAACCTTGAAAGCCATGGCCGATCCGATAAAAACGTCCAACCAGTCGCAAAAACAACATCGAGAGCGGCCCGCAGTGCCGTACAAAAAGTGGCGAGTGGAAGTGCAAACGTGGAGGTCACCACTTCTTACCCCGTCTGTCTCGGGTGTTTTTGTGGTCGCAGTTCCCGGTTAATTGGCATGACGCGGCTCTTTGTGATAAGAAGGATCGACACCGCATTTGATTATAGGTACCGTTTTCTCTAGACGCGAATTGACATTCACTTCACTTCACTTCAGTATATTTTGGAAACCAAGAACAAGAAACCATGACGTAGCATAATTCGTTTAGGGTATGTGCCAGGAGCAAAACTTTTACGTCTCCGGCCGCGGGAAGATCAAAATTTTACTGTTTCCCATGCATTCGAGAAATTTAACCTGTAAGAATTTGAACCTTTGGCAACAATATCCAAATATGTGTGGAAAGAAGGTCTATGTAAATCACGGTAAACTAAGCGTCAATTAGAAGAAAGATCATCTGCCTAGAAATGACTGTAGAAGCTCCATATTTTGTTCAGTTAATCCTTGAATTTCCGGGTCCATCAAGACATAACAAGTTTTGTGACCAACTTTGAACAGACTTTGATGAATTAAGGACACTTTTGCAAACTTCATGTGGGAAATGTGTCGCCCGTTTCACTGTAATGCTTATGTCAGATTAATCGCTCATTCTTTCGGCACGCCCGCCATTCTCAGAAAGTCACCTCACCGTATCACCGAAGCATTCTCCTCTTTCACTCAGTTCACGCACATGCCTACATTTGCACCTTTCACTCACACTTGCAATCACCACACAAGCAAATAGACTAATTCTCATTTTTGATACGATCTCACCTCTCATTTTGCACTCTTACCACTTCCACACAGTTGCATTCTCCACATTTCGACTCTCACATGCCACACCTTTTTACTCTCACATGCAATTCACAAATCCTCAATTTCAGACAGTCACCCTGCACATCTGCACTTCACACTCAACCCTATAAGCCGTTTTCACGACGGGCAATCTGGCGAATAGACCTAATCTAACCAAATCTGTACCACATTTCCTTTACAGCAAATGTTGCCTGTTGTTACATTGTAATGTATGTTATGTTATCCCTCGCCCGTATAGGGGGGGGGGGTCGAACGGACCCCCCCCATGGTTTTTCGCGAATAACTCGCGTAAAAAGCGGCCGATCGCGACGAAACTTTCATTACCCTCGCATTCATCAATTTCACACCTACCCTGAAAATTTCATGACCCTGACCCAAATGACCTTTGACCTGTGACCTACTTTTCGAGACCATGTTTGGCTGGAATCGCGATTCGGCGTATGTCGGCTCGCATTAGCCGCGCGTTTGCAGTCTTTTCGTGGTTTCAAGCGTTCAAACATGTGATATGATGTTGCCCCCATGCATTAGGGTGGGTGTCAAGGTC